TCCACAAGGACGGGCGCTACTCTCCACAAGGACGGGCGCTACCCTCCACAATGACGGGCGCTACCCTCCACAAGGATGGGCGCTACCCTCCACAAAGACGGGCGCTACCCTCCCAGGGAAAGCCGCGGTTTTCATGACTAGCGCCTGCAGGCCCCCGTCCTCCCCCCTTCTCCCCGCTGGACCACCCTCACCTCACTCTCCCGCCGCTCCCTGCTGTTCCTCCGTCGACCGCTGGAGGATCTTTCTCTGTCCCCTCCCTCCCTTCCTCCCTCCCTCCCTCCCTCCCTCCCTCCCTGCTGCTGCTGTTGGAGGAGAGCAGCCTTCCTGCGTGCCGAAAGCGCCTCGGCGAAGCTGAAAGGGAATTTAGGGGGAGGGGGGGAGGGGAGGAGGCAGAAACGAAGGAGGACAAGGGTAAGGCTTGAAAAGAAGAGAGGGAAGGAAGGAGAGGGACGTGTTGGCAGAGAAGGGAGACGGAAAGAGGGGGGGGCAGGCGCACCGACGGTGGTTGGAGAGCCAGGCTTTGGAGACGTAGTAGCCGCCGGAGAAAGGCTCTGGGAGGGAGAGCAGGCGGTGCAGGTGCTGGACTTCTTGAAACCTGAGTGAGGGGGAAGGAAGAGGGAGGGAGGGAGGATCGGTGGGATGGTGGCGAGAGAGGGGGGGAAGGAGGTTAAGGGAATGGATGAGGGGAAAGGAAGAGGGAGGGAGGGAGGATCGGTGGGATGGTGGCGAGAGAGAAGGGGACGAAGGTTAAGGGAATGGGTGAGGGGGAAAAAAGAGAGAGGGAGGGAGGATCGCTGGGATGGGGGCGAGAGAGGGGGGAGGAGGTAAATGAAAGTGACATATTCCCAGCCTGTCCTCCCCACAGGGCAGATGCAATTACCTTAGGGCTTCCAGCAAAGATCCCAGCCGTTTCCTCTTGTCTTTGGATGACGAAACAGCCCCAGAGGAGGAGAGGGTGGAGGAGGAGGAGGAGGAGGCAAGGGTGGGAGGGGCGCCAGGGCCGGAGGAAGAGGAAAGAGGAGGGGAGGAAGAGACAGAGAGGAGGTCCATGGAGTGGAGGGCGATCTGAAAAGAGGGCAAGGGTAGGGGGGAAAGACGTAGGCCAGAAATGATCAAAGGATTGAGACGAGCACAAAGACGAGAGTAGGAAAGTGAGGGGGTGAAGGCGGTGGGAAAAGCCGGCCGCACCTCTTCAACAATGCCTCCCTCCCGCTGGTAGAAATGACGACAGGTCTGCACCAGGGCGCTAAGATCCCAGGCCCTAAGGTAGCTGCAAGCAAGACGCAAGACCTCCCGGGGGAGGGCGATGAGCGGCAGGGACGAGGGGGGAGGGCTGGGGGAGGGAGGGAGGGAGGGAGGGGAGGAGCAGGCCGGTAAGACGGAGGGGAGAGACAAAGAGCCGCGCAAGAAGGAAATCGAGGAGCGGACAGCAGGGCCAAGAAATTCCCTACAGCCCCAGCCTGCCCTCTTTCCCTCCTTGCCAGCCTGCCATCGTCTACTGGGCCCAAGCGGGACGGGACGACAGGGGTCCCCTCTGACCTGAGGCGCCTCCGGCCCCGCCTAGACCCTACCCCGCAACCTCCCCCACCCATTCTCGCTTCCTCCAAGTCACGGCCGTGTCGCTGCACGTCCTCATCCTCCCCCTCTCGATCTACCTGCGCCCATCGGACTGGGTCGCGAACGGCGCCTCCGCGGGGCTCTCCCCCTCGGAAGGGAAGGCTGCCTGGTGCTCAACCGCGAGGGCTGCGATCCTGTCGAACCCGTCGCAGGCTCCTGTGAGAAAGGGGGCGGGGGGGAGAAAGGGAGGGACGGCTGGGAGGTGGGCGGCCTAAGGGACACTGAGGGACGAAGACATTGCTCGGTGCCCCGCCGCGACAGATGTGCCTCCCATGCGCACCCATCTCCCACACTCTCGTTTCCCCTGCGCCACTTTTCCTTCCTCGTACCGTCACAGCATGTGGTCTCGCTGTCGTGAGAATCGCGATGTCCATTGGTTCCCGCCGGCTTTGAGGTTAGGAGGATGGGAGGGGTCAACGTACGGTCGAGTCCGGGCAGGCACTGAGACAGCAAGGCAGGTAAAGGGAAAAATGTGAGCACTCTGATAGGTGGGGGGAGAAATTTGGAGGTCTTGTGCCATGTACCTCGTGAGAAGCAGACGGGGGCCGCGGGGGAAGTCCCAGCGGGGTGGAAGTAAGAGGAGGGGTGAGAGGCCGTGGAGGAGACAGGGAAGGAGAAGCTTCAGGAGCCTGCGAGCACGTCGTTCGGGTCGTCATTTTCCTCGGAACTTCAATGACTTTGTGTCGTTAGCGAGAAAGTTTATCCCAAGAACTGATACTGATAGAAGACGATTACAGGATGTGTCCTCCGCCCCTTCTTTTTTTTCCCCTTAAACCCTTATCCACCTGCGAATCCTTTTCGTTACTTTGGCTATGATTTGTAAAGGTGTGAAGCAAGGGTGAGAGGATGCAATACATCGTGGGCCTGCTTACACAGCACACATAAGGGAGATTCTCCGCCTAGGTCGAGAAAGGCACGTCAAGTCGCTGGAAGATAAGGAGCATGATGCTGATCAGCAACTTCGCAGCGAATGAGCTCGATCTTTCAACCAATGTTGCCTATCACACGTCAAGACCGTGCCCACTTGAGCTTTGCCCCAGCCAGAATGCCTCACTTTTGATAAATGACCCTCGGCTTGAGGCTACAGGCAAATGTTCGGAAGGAAATGATGCACATACAGGAAGGGTGTGGTAAGTTGAATGAGCGATGATGATCATGCGTCTCGCTCTTGGTCGCAACCCCAAGGGGACTTTTTTATTCCAGGAAACCACCATGAAGTAATAAAAGTTTCATGCACGCTGCAGCTACCTGGTCTAGGTGTCCCCGTTGTGACACAAGCAAAAAAGACACGATTTTTGCCCAACATTTTTGCCCAACAAGCAACATTCGTAGAGTGATCGGAAAAAAGCGTTTCTCCTTTCACTCTCCCCTTGTATAGACCGTAGCTGCATCTGAATCCAGGTGTTATAGAAGAAAAGAAGCACACGTTGATTTCATTTCCTGTACGTACTGACAAAAATCATAGATATACTGAAAAAGAAGGAAAAGAAAAGAAACCAAAATATAGGAAAATGGTGGAAAAGAAGAAAAGGGAGAGTTTGGAAGAGAGGAGTGAGCGCGGGCCCTGCCGGGCGTTCCGATCTAGCAATGCTCGAAAAAAGAAGGCATCAAACGAAAAAGAAACAAAGATGCGCTGGAACGCACAGCAAAAGATTCACAGACTATATTCATCTACGAAAGCGTACAGCTTGTGTGCTTTCTCTCCCTTGTCCGCCTCCAAGTCCGCCGGTACGGTGGCTGGAATAGCAAGGATCCCGAAGGCGGGAACCGGCCTTTCAAAAAAAAGGAGGGAACGCATGAACGCGTCTCCCGCCCGATTCCTGTACCCTGTTTTGTTGGCTTTTCTACAAAAGGAAGTCAAAGAGATGGTCTCAAGGGATTGCACACGCTTCTCGTTACATTGATGTACAATGCCTGCATTTTGGTCTCTATTTTATGTTTGTTTTTTGGTGCATATCACTTGACTTGCACTCATCAGGTTTCACCTCCCCACCCTCCCTTGTTCCCGCGTCCGCATATTTTACTCGCGCGTTCTCACAAAAGGGACACTCCTCCCATGTTGGTGCACAAAACAATGCAGATGACTACTAAGATTACTCAATATTCTTCGTTACATCACTTTTCTCGCAAAGTGTAGACATGCCAGCTGTCAAGGAGGACTACGATGTCCTAGAAGTCATCGGACAAGGATCCTTCGGAAAAGTATGTCGGGTCCGCCGCGTGGAGGACGGCAAGGTAAGCTGTACTGATGGATTCGCATATGAGGACTCTAAATGAGCTTGTCCTGTACGAGGAAGGAAAGAGACGTAGCAAATCTCTTGCCAGGTCGTAACACGAACCAGATTCGCACGTTAAGCTGCTGGATATACAGCGTTTCCCGTACCATAGCCTTTCGTCACTTCCATTGCCTTGTCGAAAGGATTGTTTCCTACCACGATCGCATTCCTTTCCACCTGATCTATACATGTGTACTGTCTCGACACAGGTCTTGGTGTGGAAAGAGATCAACTACGCGCACATGCGTCCCCTAGAGAAGCAACGCATTGCCGACGAGGTAAGCCCCAAAACCAGCATGCGATCATGCGTGTGGGGAGGCCATTGTGCAAGGATCTGAAAGACTCTGTGCTTCGAGGCCTGGCGCTGTGTCGATATGGAGGGACAAATCGCTCAGCTCTTGTCCTAATCTTGCACCTGCCCCCCGCCTCGAGCTAGGTGAACATCCTCAAGGACCTTCGTAACCCCTTCATCGTCCGCTTCTACGACCACGTGATCGAGCGCGCGAGCAAAAAGTGCTACATCATCATGGAGCATTGCCCGGTACGTATATTCTTTCGTCCCGCCCTCCCCGGGCTTCCGACTCATGCTCACACGCCGTGCTCGTCTCCCGTTTCCTCCGGCTTCTCCCGCCCCCTCAGGGTGGTGATCTTCGCCGCCTGATCAAAACCTGTCGACGCGAGGGCCGTTGGATCGATGAGGGTTTTATCTGGCGTGTACTCGCCCAGCTCATTGTGGCGCTCAAGGTCCGCCTCGACCCCCCGCTATCCCTCCTTCCCTTCTCCTTCGTTCCCTTCCTTCCTCACCCTTTCCACCCCACAACTGGCGCATGTCTTCTCTGTCCAGGACTGCCATCGACGCGCCCGGCCCATTCTCCATCGAGACATCAAACCTGCCAACGTCCTCCTCGATCAGGTATTTCCTCCGCTACTTTCCCTCCCTCCCACGACGCGGCACTTGTACCCCGCCCGTGACCTCACCTCTCCTTGCCTCTCCCTCACCGTCTTTGCCTGTAGGATCGCAACATCAAACTCGCCGATTTCGGCCTGGCGAAGGAGCTCGACAACGAACGCGGTGCGTGCCTCCGTCCTTCCTGCATCTCCCATCGTCCGCTCACTTTCCTCCTCCCCTTCCCTAACTCCCTGAATCCCTAAATCCCTCCTTCCCTCCCTCCCAGCATTCGCAGCCACCAATGTAGGCACGCCCTACTACATGTCTCCCGAGCTGGTGAACCATCAATCCTACGATGATGGGGCTGACTTATGGAGCGTGGGCTGTCTCCTGGTGAGTGCTCTTGCCCGTTCCACACACACACACACTCTGAGCATTGCCCCGTGGCTCGTCCTTGGAGGCCGCCCCAAGGCCCTGGACCTCCTCCTTCCTCACCTATACAACCCATCCTTCCCCTTCACCTCCTCGATCCATGTCTTTATCCACCAGTACGAGGCTGCCGCCCTCCGGCCCCCCTTCGATGCCTCTTCCCACGCCTCGCTCGCCCACAAAATTAATGCCGGGAAGATCTCTCGCATCCCTGACAGGTGCGTCCACGGCGGCCCTCCCTATCCGCCCTGACTGACCAGGCATCGGGATCCAAGCTCTCTCGGTCTCTTCTACGAGCTCAATCCCTCTCCCACTCTCCGTCCTCTCTCCCCGCACAGATATTCGGACGAGCTCCAGCAAGTCATTCGCGCCATGCTGCACAAAAATCCTGGTAGGGCTTGCAACGCGTGAGAGCACATGACCGATACCGGGCTACGTGCTGTCTTTAGTCACAAGAGAGCTGTCTCCTTGTACCAACATTCTCTCTCCCCCTCTGACGTCCCCCCCTCCTTCCCTCCTTCTATCCCTCCTTCCCTCCCTCGCGACTGACAGCAAAACGCCCTCAGCTTGAGACCTTGGAAAAAGCTGTGCCCTCGCTGGCTCCCCACCTCCGTGAGTCCCGAGCCCTCCTTCTCGAGTACGAGCTTCAAGCTCGCTACCACGCGCGGTGCGTCCCCTTCTCTCCCTCCCTCCCTCCCTCCCTCCCCCCTGTCCCTCTCGCTTTCCCCTCCGATCTCACCCTCGCGCCCCCCCTCGCTTACAGTATGAAGCAAGTCCGTGCCCGGGAAGAAGAAGTCAAGCAGCGAGAGACCTCGCTCCGGTGCAGGTGTGCCAGTCTTCTGTCCTCTTGTCTCGCTCTCCTTCCCCTCCTCATCCCTCCTCGCCCTCCCCTTCTCTCGCCTCTCTTCCCCTTCCTTAGGGAAGACGCACTTGAACGCAGGCAACGTCGCCTTATCGAGCGGGAACGACAGTTGCAGCGCTCCCTACAGACCCATACCTCCCCCTCGCCCTCCATCCCTACCTCGCACCCGCCCTCCGACTCCACGCTGCTTCTCGCTTCCGTCTCAGCCTCTGTGCAGGCGCGTGAGAAAATGCGAAGACCGGGGCTACTGACAGAGGAGGAGGAGAAAGAGGAAGACGAGGAGGTAAGACCTGAATCAGAACACGGGCTGGCCCTTTTTCCTTTCCGTTCATGCTTTCCTCCCCTCCCTCCCGCCTCCTACCCTCCTCGGTCCCGCAGAACCTCTCCCTTGGCAGCCAGGCCTCTGCCCTTTGCGACGCAGCCACTGCCGCCCACCGGAATGAAGATCCTCACACCACTCTCGAGGAGGAAGGAAGCGAGGACGAGGACGAGGACGAGGACGAGGACGAGGACGAGGACAAGGAAGGGCTCGTCTACCGTCACCAGACCTCTCCTCTCTCAACCCGACGACAAGATCCACCCCTGGGACCCCCCCTCCCCCCTCCCCCTCGCCCTCGTCCCTCACCCCGTCGACCCGAGGCAGAGACCGGGCAACCAGACGTTTCCCTTTCTACTCCTCCGACTCCTCACCACCACGCTATCCCTGCCTCGGCAGCAGCATCCGGCAGCAACAGCGGAGCGGGACGGGGAGGAGGGAGGGGTGGACGCAGGAGCTGTCCCTTGTCCACGCCCCCTCCCACCACCCCAAAGGTTCAGGCTCTCTTTCCATCCCTCGTCGCTCCTCTCTCTGCCAACCGGGAGGTGAGTGTCCGAGGGGGGGGTAGGGGGGCAAATCACACCCAGAATGTGCCTGAATCGCTCACGTTTCTACCTCCGAACCCGTTTGGCTCACAGCGTGCGTCCTTCTCCGCTTTTCAACGCTGCCATGAACAGAACACTCCGGCCTCCCTGAAACGCAGCACCCCCCCTCCCCCGCTTGCAGCTCCGTCCCCCATCTCCGCCCTCCCTTCCTCGCGCAGTGCCCTGCGGCCTCGGAACCCGAACGTCGCGCTCCCCTCACATGCTGGACAGGCAGCCCTCCAATTTGACAGGTGAGCCGCAATGCGGGAGGAGGCTGGAAAAATGCGGATGAGGATTCAGGAAACCTGGTCTTGGTAGGTCCTACGGCTTCTTAGTCGATACTCATCCGTCGAATCAATCCATTTTCACACTCTTCGTCGGTGTCAGCCCTCTTCTCGATGCTTACAAGGCCCAGCAGCGGCAGAAACAGCATCCCCTGCCCACCTTCCAGCCGCCTTACCATCGACCCTGTCGCGCCTCTCACGAGAACAGCAGCAGCGGTATCGTTGACGTTACCAGTGGAACAGGTAAGATGGAAGTACTTAATGAAGACAAATTGAGGTACTGAGGGATGAAGAAGAATAGACATCGAGCAACAACGGGGTTGAAGATTTCTGAAGGCGAAGTGAGGCCTTGGTCAGGACGGGACGTTCTATGTCCGCAGCAGGAAATTGATCGTTCCTCCTTTTTTCTTCATCTCTTCCAGGGTATTTCTGCCCTTCCAATGATCGCATCAACCTGCTTTCCCCTCCATCATCCTACCGACCCGTCGTCAAAGGGGGGAAGGATGGGGGACTGCAAGGAGGCAGGGGAGGAATGTTGAAGAGCCCGAATACATCTTTGATGTCGATGGACACGACGGTGTCAGCAGCTTCCACCTCCCATCACTCCATCTCCAGATTCAACCGACTAACATAACAAATAACGGACTTATGTCGGCGGTAGGGGATAGACATGAAGCAGCTTCAGGAGTACGAGGCAGTCAATATCCACGCGCGTTTATGCGATAGTATGTGTATGAAATGTCTGTAAACAATCAAAAATCAACCGACAACAGAAAACAAGTGCCAGAGCTATTCCAATACAGTAAAGTCCATGATGGCTTCGACAGTCAAACGCAATAAGAGCCGACTCTTGGACCGACACGTGCCCATCCTCCATCATCATAGCTATATAGTAACTTGGTCAAGCCGTGGTCGAAAACATTCAAAAAGATTGATTTTTGTGAAGCTTTTTCGTGCGGTTTTGACTCTGAGTTCAAGATTTGAAGAAAAATTGTCTTGCATATTTCACATGCAGATGATGTTTCTGTTTTTACTGTATTTCTGTTTCCTATCATTTGCAAAACTCACTTTTCGCTTCATCTTTAAGCCTTTTTGAATGTTTCTTGCGCTCATTCACCTTTTCGATGACATGCACGATTTCTGCACTCGCTTCCTACGAAGTCCCCCCTGCTGCTGTCGTTTGCGCCTCTCCTACCTCCGCTACCTCAGGTTTGTGGGCATACTTTTCCCCAGCATCGATGAGATCGCGCCCTCGTTCCCTTTTTCTTTCCTTTCCTTTGCGCTTTGCCTCCAGTTCCTTGTGAAAGCGCGCCAGTCGGAAAGCAAATAAACCCCGGATGACCTCTTCCTCCTCATCGCTCAAAAATCCCTTTCCTTTACGTACTCTCACTGCGGCATCTGATTCCTTCCTCCTTCCCGTCTGCGACTGCCTATCAAGTACGCTTCCCCTTGTTCCATTTTCTTTTCCCTCCCCCCTCTCTTCCAATAGTTTAGCATGCTCAGCCTCGTCGTCTTTCTCTTTACGCCAGCGCTCTTCTTCCTCTTCCTCATCGTCGTTTTCAGCGCCCGTGTCCTCCTCGATGCGAATGGAAGGAGGGATCTGAGAAGGAGCAGGAGGCTTGTAGGGGATACCATGAAGCTTTTCCATTTTTAAGGCAAATTGGTGGCGCAGACGGGCGTCGCGGTCATGGTGCGAGTGCTCCACCTAGAAAAGATAAATAAGTCAGAGGATAACTTGAAAGCGATGAATGGGATCAATAGGAAACGGGCTGGACCTACCAACATGCCGAGCTTGAGGCCAGACTCCAGCATCCGAGTGAGTTTCACGCGCATTTGCAGGGCAGATTCGCGCTAGACAGGAAAGAGAGGGAGAAAAAGAAGTCGGCGAGAAGCACAAAAGATCTCGGCAAATCACTTTGGCGAACGACCGCATCGGAAGCAATGAGTGTGGCACAAAACCTTCCTTCCAGCTGACGCACGAATCACGCGAATTCAGGGGCAGAGCCAACATGCCCCCCATCTATACCCGTCTATCAGCGTGTCACTGTTATCAATCATCTACGCAAACAATCATGTGTAATGGTGAGTCAGGTAAGCGTGGACCGGAGACACCCCTACCTGGACGAAAGTGGAGGGAAATTTGTGCGAGAGCCATAGATAAGCGTCGAGGACGGAGTGCTTGGTGCAGAGCTCATTCATGCCGAGAAGTGTGGTGGGGGGGGACGCGGGCAGGCGAACGGAGAGCGGCATGGGCCGGCGCGCCGCTCGGGCGGCAGCAAATTGATAAAGCATCTTAAAGAGATAGAGCGGGTAGGGGAAAGAAGCGCAGAAAATGGATGGTAAGATGACAATGAAGCATCACATTCAGCCGAAGGAAAGAGCATAAGGAGCTGTGGTTAGAAGCACGATACACGGCGAAAAGAGCATGTCATAAGAATTGGGGAAATCGGACGGAGAGGATGACCGCACACCTGCATAGCGAATCTATCGCGGCTGCTAATGGGCACCGACGAGAGGATATAGCGCTCAGCAATGGACAGGGGCTTGACTTGCGCCAAGTAGGAGGCGATGGAGGCCATGGATCGGGAGCGGCACATGTGGTAGGTGTCCGAGACCTGGCAGGGGAAAGGGCGTGGAGGGGGCCAAGAACAGAGACCAGAGGGAGGCGGTAACTCGTTTAACTCCCGTATATGAATGGTCGGCTCTCCCCGTCCCCTCGTACCTCCGCCATGTTGAAGAAAGAGTCCATGACTTCCATCAGTCCCAGGCCCTCCTCCTCTTCTTCTGACTTCTGTTGCCCTTCCTCGCCCGTCTCTTCCTTCCCATTCTCCTCCTTCTTCCCTCTGTTCATCTCCAATCCAATGTCTCTCGCAAAAAAACTCGCATGGAACGGAGAAGATAAGCCTTTCTTCCGTTGTTGCCACCTTTCTTCTTCTCCCCCCAGTTCCCCGCTGCCCTTTATCCGTCCCACCTAAAGTGGACGGAGAGGGAAAGAGAGAGAGAGAAAATGCATAAACAAGAGGTTGAGTAGAGTCAAATGAGAAAAAAACGTACAGGGGCGTCATTACGAATAAATTGATCATATAAGATATACGGATTGATTTGATCATATCTACACACCTGTGATTCTAGGAGCGACGCAAAATCCTCTAGTTGTTCAGGAGAAGGAAATAGGCCGGCCCGGGCGATTTGCTCGGTAGCCGTGCCCAACCCTTAAGGGAGGCGGGTATGGACAGAAGCGGTGAGCAGAAATGACTCAAAAAAGTTCGAAACCAACCACGAAAGAGCAGTAGGCAAGGAATTGAAAATGAGGATCAAACCTTGTCGAAGAAATTCCATGTCCTCTCCCTTGTAGCACGTGACTTCGCCCCGGGGAAAGCGGGACGAACGACGACCGGCCCGGCCAGCGATCTGTTTGATCATACCTAGGCGTGAGAGGTACAGAATAGCGGAAGGTGTGAGCCACTACAGGAAGAAAACAGTGCAAACGACGAAGTAAGGCGCGCGCAATGAGAGGAATATTAAGATCAATCCCTTCGTCCCTCTGTCAAGACGCATTGAGGAATCCTAGCGCGACGTACCTGAATGCAACACCTCAGCACCGCCCTCGTCGGATACTTTGATAAGAGAGTGGAAAATGATCCGCCTGCGGGGGGGAGGAAGCGATTAGGACTGGTGTTCCATGAATGAAGGGAGGCTATCCAGGAGTCTAGAGATATGTGAAAAGCGCTGCCGGCTGCTCATAGCAATCAGTCACGAAGATAAAACAATACTACTCTGCAGGGAAGGGAAGGCGTTGGACAGACCTGATGTTGAGATTCAGGCCCATTCCAATGGCATCAGTGGCGACCAGGACGTCGAAGCCCGTTCCCTCTTCGTTGAAGATTCCCGCCTGGGCGGACCGTGTCTCGGAGGGAAGGGAGCCATAGACCATGCAGCACTTGTGACTGAGCAGGATGTAGAACGACAGAGAGGAAGATGTTATAGAGGGCGACTAGGAGCAAACAGGGGGACTGGTCGCGCGATGTGTGACTCAAGCGCATGAAGGACGTCATGTAATGACATGAAGGCGGAGAAAGAAAACGAAGGAACAAGGACCCAAAATACCTGGTCTTGGCTTCGATCTCTTGTTTAATGGAACAAATGTCGGACTTGCTGAAGGCAACAATGCAGTCTCCTACCATTACCTGTGACAGTTTAAAAAGTTCGTCGTTGAAAACAGCAGGCACCCGGTAGCAAGTGAGTACGAGAGGTAATTGAACGCAGGAACAGTAACGGAGGGGAGAAAATAGGATCTCAAATTACCTTGGAGTAGTCAAGCAGCGGCTCGGAGGCGATGGTAAGTTCCGTCATACGCTCATATTTTCGGATCTGGAGAGAAAAAGAAGGGTGGACATAGTCATGAGCGCGTACGAGCACGGACACCGAAATTCTAACTCAAGAGATGAGGATGGGGTTCGTATGCGCTCTAACAATAGGAAAGGAAACAGGGTACCTCCAGGTCGTCTCCAGTAGCCTGGCAGAGACGGGAGACCACTTCCACGGCTTCGGGTCCTCCACACAGGTGAATCTCCTTGGCTCGGAGCCCCAGGAGAGCGCTACACATGATTTTAAGACATGAGAGGTGAGTACGGGGTCAAGAGAGGGTAGTCATAGAAGCGGAGATGGGGAAGGCGCATGTAACAAAAGGTATGATGGAGCGAAGGGGCCAACAAAAGGAAGATCAGCGAATATTGTGTGAGGATCGAGGACGAACACGAAAGACAAAGGACAAAACGAAACGCACCGAGTCCAGGCGTGGCCTCGCTCTGGGTCGCCGATCATCTGGATCTCATCCAGCACCGCCACGTCGTAGTCCTGACGCAAGCTGCACATTTCAACCTGGTAACAGTGGCGAGGCGCAAAAAACAGGCAGTATTGTAAATTTGCGGCGCACAAAAGCAGTAAAAGCTGTCATTCGCCAGCTCGCGTACCGTAGCACTGGTATGGTCGGAGAAGGGAATAAGCCTCTTCTCCTGGCCGGTGAGCAGAGAGCAGTAGACGCCCTCCTCGTTAAGTGTATCATAGATCTGTGGGGAATGAAAGGGGGAAGAACAGGGGATATTGATATAATGGAAATGGAAGGCAAAATGAGGGAACGCGATGAAATCCTCACCTCGAGAGCCAACAAGCGGAGGGGCCCCAGGTACAGGCCGCCCCCTTTCGCCGGATCGGCCATTTTCAGGCGCTGAAGCGCATGATAGGTTTTGCCGGAGTTGGTGGGGCCTGAAGCAGGGGAAAAGACGACGGAAGAAATCTGGAGGTGAGACTAGCTCTTTGCCCGATGCAGCCCTCAGAACCTGCCAGCACCCTACCAGCCAATTCTCGTCTCCTCACCTGCGTGGTATATGATCTTCCTCCGCATGAGGCGGGCGTAGGGGTACCAGTCGTGAGGAAGCCGCATGTCACACACGCGCACCAGCTGGCCGAGGCCACTGTCCTTCATCGCCTTCCTCTCCTTATCCGCCGTCGACTCTCCCATCTGTTGCCGCTCTCCACCCAGCTCTGTCTCCTCCCCCGATTCTTCCCTTCCTTCCCCTTCCACACCGGCCAGACTCGGCGCTGAGAGCGGACGAGCAGCGGCCAGGGAGCGGATGATAAAGGGAAGAAGGATGGCTTCCACGCGCATAAATTCAGGGGGAAGAGGCGGGAGAGCCCTGTCGATGGAAGAGGGAAGGGGAGAACGTCAGAAAAGGAGAATCAGGACAAGGAGCAGGTGGAAAAAGAGTTTAAATCTTCAGTGGGAGGTTTCCCAGTCTTGTTTCGCTTATCTCTTGTGTCAACATCATCACTTTCCAACGTCGCACATGATTGAAGAGACAGAAGGACCAATAGTGAGGGGAAATCACACGTGCGGATAGGGAGGATAATAAGGAATGGTCCAGACACAAGCTGGCTGATGGAGGGGCAGAGGCAAAGGAGACGATCAAAGGAAGTGAGCGACTCATCAAGCTCATCGGACAATCAAGGAGACGAGGCCATCGGCAGGCAAATAGGGGCAGAGGCGTGGGGACCGAGCAAGACAGGAAGTACAGAGAAAGGTTGAAGATCCAGGGAAAAACCATTGGACGGATAAGCCAAGAGAGAAAAGGACGACATGAGAGAGGAAGGTTCTACGCACGGTTTCTCCCCGCTCATAGTGTAGCTGTGCCGGCGAACTTTGGCGTGCCAAGCGTCGAATGTGTTGTGGAAGCTGCCCATGACGGCACCAGGGACGTCGTCCAGAGCGTGGAGGAGGGGCACTGAGAGGGAGGGGGGCACAAGGCAGGAAAAGTGAAAGGAGGATGGGAGAAGTTGCGGGTTGAAACGGGAAAAGCAAGGGAGGAAAGCTCACGAGCTGTAGAAGTCAGTGAATGCCAAAAGGGGAGGAAAGTATATGAACTTGCGTCAATACGTACGGTACTGGTCTTTCAAGGTATCTTGAGGCCATAAAAATGCTTGATTCATGAAATTCACCACCGCCATTTTCCACTGGAAGGATGGCAGACCGTCCCCGCGCTGATTAGGGGTGAGAAAACGAGGGAGGTGATGACAAGGCAGCATGAGTGCAAAGTTCATTCCAGCTATCCGTGAATTCATCGATCTCACCCAGCCGCCACACTTGCTCGGCATCGGCAATGCTGAGTATAAAGTCGAGACGCGACGGGTTATAGAGGTCTCCACATCAACACATTTTCAAATCCATTCCCCTCCTGCCCTTCGAAATTACCGTCTCCATCTCTTCGCGCATCGCGATAGGAGGCCCGCCCTCCACCATGTACTGCACAAGGAGCCTGAAACGCTTGGAATAGTAGTCTCGGCCCAGGTGCTTCTCCCCCGAATACGGCGCTCCATGTCCTCCATGCCGTCCTCCCTCCTCTTCGCTGTCGGTCCTTTCCTTGATTTCTTTGGACCCCTCTACCTCAGTAATGATTTCACTTTTGTCGAGGCTTGAGAACTGTTATGGTGATAAAGCTTGTGAGGCGATGTCACGCTTTTACATCGATGTTTCTATTCTGCTCGCTGTCACCACTTTCTACAAAGTTCACATCTTTCACCCCTGCCCGCATACAGCTGATCATAGCTGTACCTTGTTGCAGGTTTCCGTCCCTAAATCGCCCCCTGACACCGCGGTTTGGCAAGAGGATGAGGAAGACGAGTGACGTGCTAGCGCTCCTCTTCCGTCTCTCGGCAACTCGTGCACCATCCGTCCACACGCAAAAATGTCGGTGGCAAGTAAGTTAAGGATGTAGGGATGCCGTGTGCGCATACTCTTTCTCAATTTGAGAAAGACCCAAAGCTGACAATGTTTTTGAGGACCTGCCTGATCGACAAGCCTCAGGTAGCGCAACATACTGAGCGACATTTAAAAGCTCAGCAGACAGAAGAAGAGCCACTGAACATATCTCTTGAATCTTCGCACATCGAGGTGTCACTCAGTCCGTCAAGGATGATGCGTGGATGTATTTATACGTTTTTCGGCCCAATCGATGGAGGAGGTCAGACCAGCGATGCGCTTGCTTGCCTTGCTGTTATTTTTACCGAGACCCATTGCAAAGCAGTAAAGAAACACCCTTATGTAAGTGCTGTGAAAATTACGCAAACCCCCATCCTTCAATGTGGTTGAGATGTTTTCAAATAATCAGCAATACTGAAACGAAGAAAACGGTCTCAAAGGCAGGGTGCAAGAGTGTTACTCGAGCCCAGGCTGAGGAATCTGCTCCTCGTGTCTCCCCTCTACGTGCCTCACATCCACACCCGCAGGGAAAAACGTCGGGTCTCATCTAACGAGATATTGATTGCACGGATACGCTTTCACGTCAACTCATGTAGTATCAGCTCATCTTTCTTGCTTGATTCATCAGAGTCCTAAAAACCAACACTTGTCACACTCTTCAAACGCTTTCCGAGGTAAGTCAAGGAACGCGTCGAACGCGTAAGCGGACAGGCCATCGAATGGGCCGTCAACGCCTACGGCAGAAGAGAAAAATGCATTAGCTTAAAACCAGGTCGTTTGTAAAGTATTGCGAGAGCTACCTGAGCTTGCTTAGAATTTTCCAGTTGATCGTGTGATTGCCCATTCCTTGCAGGGAGAGAGCCGAAACGTCACATGTTGTGGTGCATTGCGATTTCTTCTTTTCTGTGAGGACTACGAAAGCATTTAATCATCCATTCAATCGACCAAACTTTGCAAGTTTTCTAATCGTCTGTCCATATCGCATATTGGCAGCTCATGGAGGACGAAGGCAGCCAAGTCGATCTGCGAGGCGAACAGCCCGAAGTGAGGTCAATTCAAAGCTTGATAGGCGTCCTGCTCCAGGCCCTCATAATCTACATTTTCTACCTTGTAGCTTGGTGGTTTCTCAGCAGGGGGTTTTGCGATATTTATGATTGCACGCGTCGGCGTCTTGATTTTCTGAATGAGGAATGCAAACGTAATAATGCGAGACCCCGGCCTCGAACCCCTGGCTGGCCAGAGGCCTCGCCCGTACCTTGCTATCCAATAACCCCTATGTGTGGCTCATGACGTTGTGGCGTACCTCAGAAAAAGATATTATTTAATGCGTCGGTTCGGATGCCTGAACGATCCTGCGCTTTTTACGCCTTGGATGCTGGATCAGTCTTGGAGCAACAGTGCTGGGTCTTTGCATACTACTGCCCGTCAACGTGGTCGGTGGTAACCACCTTGCACAGCTCGAGCGCCTTTCCTTATCCAATGTTGCAGATCAGTCTAGTTTGCTCTGGGTACCTCTGAAAATTGCGTACGTTTTGGGCGGCTTGGCGTTGTACGTGTTGCATCGTGAGTACATTGTGTACGTCGAACTGCGCCAACGGTATTTGCGCGCTCCCACAGCACAGAATTATTCTGTCCTCGTGCGCGACTATCCCCCAACCTATGGATTGCGATGCACTGTTGTCTTACCTACGTAATCTGCTAGGCGAAGACGTAGCTGCCGTCCATTGTGTAAACCGTCATCGACGCGCGCGCTACGACCGGTCGACAAAGCGCAAAGACGCATTACTACTGTCACGTGTTCGGTGCCCCCTTCCGCATGCTTCCGGCGTGGGGACCTCACATCGACGCGATCGGAGCCATGCAAAAAGAGATGGGGCGGTGCAATCGACTTTTATCTTTAGTCAGGGACGAGCGTGAGGCGCTTGAAAGCCTGGAAAGTCAAGTGAATGCCTGTATCTTGACCCTAGGTTCAGTACGTGTCGCCAGTGCGTCGAAGACCATCCCTTTTCATCCCACAACCCCAGTATTTCGGTCAGCGAGGCTCCTGCTCCCGCACATCCCCTGTGGCAACACATTCGCTCTTCTCATCGGGAGCGCTATATTCGACACGTGCTTGTGTGGTCGATAGTAGCTGCGGCCATACTGGGCTACACTGTTCCTCTCGCCCCTGCCTCCTCCTTGGCAAATTTGACCGTCCTCTCACGTACCCAGGCATTCACCCGGTTGAGGCGTTTTGTGGATGCCACCTCAGCCTGACAGCATTCATCCAGGGCTTCCTACCAAAGCCAAATAGAATGAGGCGGCTCTGGTAGGGCTGTTTTCAGCGTTGTGGGTCGTCACTTGCGACGTGGTGCGCTGTTGGGCGTTGCTGTTTCTGTGAAGGCTGAAAACGGGGAGGCTGTGGCCGTCGGTGGAATGGACCTGTAGCTGTGCTAATTTGGCCAAAGTCGTAGAGGCCTCGAGCCGATCGACCCCAAACAAATTGCATCGTAAAGTCCGGATTTAAAAACGACCCTCGCAAATCTCAGCAGTAGGACAACGTCATGTCGTGTTCTTCGTTGTCATGTCGTCCTTCAGTCGTCTCGTGTTCGGTTTGCTGCTCGAAGGCGCACAGTTCTCTTCCGCACTGCACACACAGGCATCAGGCTACATTCGTATTGAATGTAAGGAACGGACGCACATTTCATGTTTTCGACTCCCCCTCCTTGCAGGCACGCGGCGGCGTGGCGGCCTTGAAACAGAGGCCTCGACTCGACTGGAGACCAAAAACGCTCGTCATCGAGCCCCCGCGCACGTGCACGCGCGCACGACAATGCGGACGACGAGGACGGTGGCAGGCAGTGGTACGGGTCGCACGGGCGTATTGCTCTTGCTCGTTTGCCTCTGGGTGGGGTGG